AAAAAAAAAAAAAAAGAACCAATGATACTGAAAGAAGTCAAAGCCGCAGTGAAGGAATTGGTGAAAAATAAGGCTCCAGGAGTTGACGGAATACCCATTGAGGTGTTTCAACAGATGGATGCTGCGCTGGAGGCACTCACTTGTCTATCCCAAGAGATTTAGAAGACAGCTACCTGGCTAACTGACTAGAAGAGATCCATATTTGTACCCATTCCAAAGAAAGATGGTCTTGGTTGTTAATGAATCTGTGGATATCACAGGTTGTTCCTCCAATCCTGATGCTGCATTCTTCTTCACATAGTCCAGCTTCTCAAGATTATTTGCTCAGCATACAGACAGCCCTGACACACTCCCTTCCTGATTTTAAAGCATGCAATAGCCCCTGGTTCTGTTCAAATGACAGCCTCCTGATCTATGTACAGTTCCTCATGAGCACAATTAAGTGATCTGGAATTCCCATTCTTAATGTTATCCACATGTGGTACGATCCATACAATCAAATGCTTTTGCATAATCAATAAAACACAAGTAAACATCTTTCTGGTATTCTTTGCTTTCAGCTAAGATCCATCTGACATCAGCAATTATATCCCTTGTTTCATGTCTTCTTCTGAATCCAGGAGTTCTGGTACCGTAGTGCCTAAGGCACTTGACTGCTAACCAGAAGGCTGGTGGTTCAAACCCACCAGCTTCTCCTCAGAAGGAAGGTTGGGCAGTCTAGTTCCTTAGTGATACTGCCTCAGAAACCCAAGGAGGGGTCACTATGAGTCAGGTCCGACTCAACGGCACATAATAGCAACAACAACAGTCAGCACCAATGGAAGCAGCATTCAAGAAATCAGACAATGTATTGCATTGGGCAAATCTCCTGTGAAAGACCTCTTTAAAGTGCTGAAGAGCAAAGATGTGTTTTTGAAGACAACCTAACCCAAGCCATGGTATTTTCAGTGCCTCATATGCATGTGAAAGGTGAACAATGAATAAGGAAGACTGAAGAAGAGTTGATGCCTTTGAGTTGTGATGTTGCTGAAGAATACTAAAAGTACCAGAAGAATGAAAAAAAATCTTTTTGTCTTGAAAGAAATGTAGCTGGAATGCTTCTTGGAAGTGAGGATGGCCAGACTTCATCATACCTACTTTGGTAATGTTGTCAGAAGGGACCATTTCTGGAAGGATATTATGGTTGGTAAAGTGGAGGGTCAACGCAAAAGGGGAAGACCCTCAACAAGATGGATTGACACAGTGGCCACAACGATGGGCTCAGGTGTGGCAAGGATTGTGAGGCTGGCACAGGACCAGCAGTGTTTTGTTCTGTTGTGCATAGGGTCACTATCAGTGGGAGTCGACTTGATGGCATCTAACAACAAGTTATGTTTGATAGTGTATTTATGCCATGTACTAGGGCCCTTGGAGTCGAGAATGGCCAGACTTCGTCTCACGTACTTCAGTAATGTTGTCAGAAGTTACCATTCCTTGGAGAAAGATGTCATGCTTAGTAAGGGGAGGGTCGACGAAAGAGAGGAAGTCCCTGAATGAGGTGGATTGACAAGGTGGCGGTGGCAATAGGCTCAATTGTAGAAAGAATTGTGGAGCTGGCTCAGGACTGGGCAGTGTTTCATTCTGCTGTGCATAGGGTCGCTATGAGTTGGAGACAACTCGATGGCACTTAACAACAACAACAAGAGACCCTAAGTTTTCCCCTATTTCTTCTTTGATGATATTTATGAATTTGTGTTTTACATTTGTCTTTGATTCATCTTGAATTAGTTTTTGTAAATGGGAGAAATATAGATAGTTCCATTTTTCTGCAAATAAATATCCAATTTTGCCGACACTATTTGTTAAAGAATATTTCTTCCCCATTTAATGTGCTTCAGCCTTTGTCAAAGATCAGCTATACATATGTGGATGGATTCACTTTTGGGTTATCATTTGTATTCTATTGGTCTATGTGTCTATCACTATACCAGTGCCAAGTATGAACTACAAAAATAGTCAAACCTATTATTGGCTATATAATAGGTTTTGAGATCAGAGAGTGTGAGTCCTCCTACTTTGTTCTTCTTTAGTAGAGTTTTGGTGTCTGGGGTCTCTTTCCTTTCCATATAAAGTTGGTGATTAGTTTTTCCACCTCTTTAAAGAATGATTATGGAATCTTGGTGAGGATTATATTATATCTGTAGATTGCTTTGGGTAGTATTTTCACTTTTACAGTGTTAAGTCTTCCTATCCATGATTATGATTCATTTTTCCATTTATGTAGATCTCTTTGGGTTGCCTGTAGTAGTGTTTTCTAGTTTTCTTTGTATATGTCTTTTTTGTCTCTGGTTAAATTTATTCCTAAGTACTTCATCTTTTGGGTGGCTATTGTAAATGGTATTGTTTTCCTGATTTCAGAGCTCTCTTGGTTAGTAGAGAGGAATTCAACTGATTTTTGTATGTTTATCTTGTACCTTGCCACTTTGCTGGATCCTTCTATTAGTTCCAGCAGTTTTCTTGTTGAATCTCTAGGGTTTTCTATGTATAGGATCATGCCATCTCCAAAAAGGGATAGTTTTTTACTACTCGGTGAGTTTGGATTCCTTTACTTTCCCTCTTTTGCCTTATTGCTCTGGCTAAGACTTCTGATACAATATTGAGAAAGAGTGGTGATAAAGGGCATCCTTGTCTGGTTCCCATTCATAAGAGGAGTGCTTTCAGTCTCTCCATTGAGAATTATGTTGGCCGTTGGGTTTATGTATATGCCCTTAATTACGTTGAGGACATTCCCTTCTATTCCTACTATTTTCATCAAGATTTTGTAAAATGCCTTTTCTGTTATAATTGATATGATCATTTTGTTCTTTTCCTTTGTTTTGTTTGTGTGATGGATTACATTGATTGTTTTGCTAATGTAGAACCATCCTTGCATACCCGGTATGAATTGCACTTGGTCATAATATATTACTTTTTTGATATGTTGTTGAATTTTGTTAGCTAGTATTTTCTTCAGAATTTTTTGTGTCAATGTTCATGAAGGATATTGGTCTGTAATATTCTTTGCCTGGTTTGTATATCAGTGTTAATGCTTGCTTCATAGAATGGGGAATTCCATCCTTTTCTATGTTCTGGAGTAGTTTGAATAGTATTGGTGTCAGCTCCTCTGAATGTGTGATAGAATTGATAGAAATCTCTAGTGAAGCCATCTGGGCCAGGACTCCTTTTTGTTGGGTGTTTTTTGTTTGTTTGTTTGTTTGTTTGTTTGTTTAATGCCTTGTTCACTTTCTTCTTTTGTGATGGGTCTGTTCAAATTTTCTACCTCAGATTGTGTTAGTTTTAGTGGGTAGTATGTTTCTAGAAATCTGTCCATTTCTTGTAGGTTTTCAGATTTGTTAGAGTAGTTCTTCATAGTATTGTTTTATTCTTTTTCTTTCAATAGGTCCTGTTGAAACATCACCCTATTTAATTTCTTATTCGTTATTTGCATCTTTTCCTTTTTAAACTTTCCAGTGGTTTGTCAATTTTATTAATCCTTCCAAAGAACCAACTTCTAGTCTTCTTGATTCTTTCTATTGGGGGTTATATGATGTGGAGAGACATATAGAATAACTGACTCTGGTGAGGGTGGTGTACTCCATATGACCTCCTCACCCTATGGAACTGAGATTCTCTGGCATAGAGAACCTTTCTTGTGATCAACTGGTGTCCTAACTCCCAGGTGTGTTGAAAACAGAAAAAAAAAAAAGATTAAGAACCACTGTTGTTAGGAATAAGTGTTGGGTGAAATAGAAGAAAAACCAAACCAGTTGTTGTCAACTTGATTCTGACTTGTTTCACCCCATAAGTGCAGAGTAGAGCTGTATTTTATAGGACTTTTAGAATGTAGATCCCCAAGCCTTTCTCACTGCCTGCCATCGAGTTGATTCCAACTCATAGCAACCCCACTGGGTCTCCAAGGCTGTAAATCTTTATGGAAGCAGACTGCCTTATCTTTCTTCAATGGAGTGGCTGATGGTTTAAACCACTGACCTTTTAGTTAGCAATCAAATGCCTTAACCACTACACCACCAGATGAGCTTGTAGGTGGATACAAACCACCAACCTTTCAGGTAATAGTTGAACATTTAACCATTTGTACTAACCAGGAACTTGAAAGAGAATAGAAATGTTTTTAGATCTATTGGCTCATAGATAACTTTTTCCTATTGAAAGAGTAACCCCTGCATATGATAAAGTCTCAATCAATACAGAATGAAATGCAAAACAAGTCATTCTCTCCCCATTACCAGTTTCTTATGTTTCCTCCCAGGACAGATTATATGTTCAAGTGTATATAGCTATATATTGCCAACCCCTTTTCTTTTCCTTATTAAAACAATGGGGGAGGGGCAAAAAAAGAAAAGGGGAAAATGTATTATAATAAATATAGTCCAAGTAGTAACTGTCAAAAAATGAAAAAGTGCTAGAGCAAAATTATTTCATCTAATAGTGAAATGTCAAAAGTTTTATCTCTGAAATTATGAGTAAACAAAGTTGTCCAGTGTCACCATGTCTGTTCAACATTACATTGGAAATCCTGGCCCCGTGATTGGCCCATAAGGCAAGAAAATATAATAAGAAGAAGAACAATTAGAACAGTGAGGTAAACTCATTATTTATAGGTGATATGGTTGTATATATAGAAATTGAAAAATAATATATAAACAAATCAAATTAATATCTTTTTCATTGAATATATAGTAATCTCTGTTCAAAGTTATCTAAATAAACCAGTGTTTTCTTACTTACATTTTAGATGTTGGTACAGAAACTTTTTAACAAGTTTACTGTTGAAAGTCTCACACCTTCATCGTTATCCTTGATGCATTCACCTCCAGATGCTCGGAATATAAGTGAGATCAACTTGAGTCCCATGGAAATCAGCACATTCCGAATCCGTTTGAGGTGAACCTGGCTTTCACATTTGGATTAGGAAGCATTGGCTTTTGTACCTTCTTGGTTTGACGTGCAATAAAGAAGCACACGTTGTTTTAGCTTCTGGCTACTGTGAGAACATGAATTCTGTGATTTTTTTTTTTTCCCCAATACAGTTTAAAAAAAAAAAAGCCATGCTATGAACCAATTTTTTTTTTTAAAGTTCCTTCCTTGAACTACCATCATCAGTATATTTTGATGGAACAAACAAACAAATGTCTAAAGTCAACCTCTCAGCAGATTGTATCTCAGGTTAAATGCTAACTAATTATGTCTGTGTTGGGGGTTGTGAAGAGAGTCTTATAAATACTCATGTTGCTGATCCTTCATTAATTTTATAAAAACACCCATTTGACTGAAAGGGAATCAAAGCTGGTGGTAATAGCTAATGGCCAAAATGGTTGCAGTCATTCATACAAAGTAGAGAAATTTTTTGTGTTGAAATCCATGGAAAAGTGCAATCATCAACTCTTAGAATACATATAGTTGATTCTACACCTTTTGCTAATGTACCTCTTAACGCTTCCCTTCCCACTCTTTGCTAGTAGTATCAGAAGTGTCAGGTTTTGACTCATTCATCAGTAGAGAAAGAGGCATATTTTCATTACTTGACAACATGGGATAGGTGCAATTTATTCCATTGTCATTCAAATTGAAGAAGCAATTCCGTGGGTACCATAAACTTATTTTAGGTACCACAGGTGTCTTTTTACACAGCTCATTTGAATACAGGTGTTCTGAGAGGGGTTTTCTATTGTAAAATTACCATATCAAAATAAATGTGCCTTATTTTTTTATAAAGTCTTGTTAAATCTTTTGGTGTCCATATTACTGTTTGGGGTAGAGGAGGCTGGGTGGGGGTGGGGAGAGGGATGGATACTTTCTTCAATATATAAATTGTATAATTTTTGCCTGATAATGCTGGCCACATTCTGATCTGTTTCATTAAATTTGTGCTGATGTTATGCTAAATATTTTGACTATTTGAATGTACTGAGATGTCAGAAAACAAAACAAGGAAGAAAAATATTGTTAATTAAAATACGCTGCTGCCAAGGAAACTGCAACTTGATGCAATGGTTTTATAACTTGCAAAATCCAGATACTGTTTCCATTTCACAGTAGTGAACCATATCCAAGCTAGAATGCTTTAAATAGATCCTGTGTTAAAACCCACTAATATGTAGCTTATTATGACTTATTAATCATTTATTCAGCTAATTCCAAACTTGTGTGTGCTAAACTCAAAGTGAAATTCTAATAGAAGCCCATGTGCCATTACAGTACTTTTAATAAAATTCATTTGAGATCAGCATTTCCTTAACATTAAAAGAACAGCATCATTAGCAACATTTAGAACATTCACTTTTAGCCTACAGAGGATTCTTCGTGTAGGTACAATTTTAAAAATTCTTTGTATTAACTAATAAATTTAGTATACCTGACTTTAAATGCCCATTTACCTCTCATCATTCCAACATATTTAACAGATATTAAAATCGAATTTCTGTTTGTTTCACCATGTAGTCTATCATCTGGATTTTCACTGGAGATGCAGTTCCTAAAATTGTTAAGTTATGTTAAATTCACAAACTCTTTAGCCTTTAATAATTAAGGAAATAATACCACTGTTGATAAAGATATTATAAGGGGGTAATTTCATGCAATAAACATGTACTGTAAGTTTCCTTCATAGGTTTTTTGAAGATAAACAACTAAAAAAAGAAAAAGGACATCTACAGAGGTAAGAATTGCCAGAAGCAAATCCCAGGAATAAGATCAGTATTCCATTGCATCTTTAAATGCAAAACTTCCTATGGGAGTTCACTGTGTTTTGTGGTTAAGTAGGTATGCTTAATCATTTTATAAATTCTGATCAGCTGATACTAAAAAAATAATAATAATTGATGCAATAAGAGTGGTTTTGCCACTTCTGGTTGTTTGAGATGGATCTGTCCCACATCAGTTGGGGTTCTTATTCCATGTGTGTTGCCACCAGCTGTTCATAGGTAAAGCAGAAAGTCTCTTTAACCAGCAAGTTTCTGCTTTTTCTAGCTATTTTTAGAGTATACCATCAGGGAAATGAAGAGAGGATGCTTTTGCTTTGGATTGTGGTCAAGAACTGACTAAATAATTTACTGTCTCTGGCGCACGCTAAAAAACCGTACACTTAGTTGTGATCTTGCTGGCATATTTGTTTGCTTAGGTTTTATTACATGTATTATCATGGATGTCAGTTGACCAGGTAGTTAAGTACTTTCCTCGTTTGTTTATGTTTTTTATAAATTTTAATTTGGGGTTATAACTATGGTGTTTGAGAACTCAGCATTGTTCTTGTTTTCTACAAATACTGGTTAAAATAAAACATTGTAAAATGTATTGTAAAGCATTGTAATTACCTTTCCATGTCTTTGTTATACTTATGCTGAAATGTTTCCACATTCCTTTGTCTAGAACAAAATCTTTGCTTTCATTTTGATTATGTTGCTTACCTTGGAATCAACAGATTTTGATATTTTCTCTTGGAAGATTTTATATCTTTTTGGGAATATGTTATAATATCTGTAATAAAAGATAATCTTATCATGTGCATGGTCCTTTAGAGTTGTTCTTAATCATGCTTTATAAACATGATATATTAAAACATTTTAGGGAATAGTATAGGGTAGTGGGAAACTGTTCATTATCCATGAATTAATGAACCGTTTCTTCTTCAGTCGTGTTGGAAAAGTTTGTTAGAGAGCAAGTGGAAGGGGTGGTAATGGATTTTGCATCTAGGCTTGGAGGCACACAAATATCCGAAGAGAGGTTGTAAGGAGCAAGATTCTGTGCAAATTAACTTAACCAAAAATAGGGAATTTATGGGATCCAGTGACTAAAGTTCAAGAATAGAGAGCTCTTAAAATACAGCTGTAGCCAGGTGTGAGATGATATAATGCATGAGCTGTTTTTATTTCTTGGTTTTGCTTTCTTCTGAGTTGTCTTCACTCTCAAGCAAGGTCTGCCCTTTGATGGCAAGACGGCTGCCAGCAGATCCAGACTTGGACCCAACCAGCTTTTACCTCTAGTAGGAAGAGATCACCTCTTAATTAATTTTCTCAGCAAATGTTTTGGGATTGATGTCACACTCATCTGGCTCATGTGCTAATGTCTGTGACTAGGGATAGAGTTGGGTTCAACTGAATCACAAGGAAAGAATGGGAGAGAAGTAGTGCTTCCTCTCCAAAGGAAAATTGGGAGAAGGAAATTGGACGCTGTGCAGACAAAATGCAATGGAAATATATTGCAGAGGAAAACCAAATACAAAGGAAGCAGAAAGCATACCTACTTTGAGTTTCAGGAAAGGTTCCGTAAAAGAGGTAGATTTGAGATAATTTGTAAAAGATGAGTATAATTTTATCATGGAGACAAGATGTGTGTTCTAGGTAAAAACATCAAAATGAGAAAAGATATGGGGACACCAAATTTTTCATTTTAATTAATTTAAATTGCAACAGGTAAGTGTTCTATTATCATTGGAGCATATAGTAATGTGTAGAATATTAACAGGAAAATAAAAACCAAACCAAACACACTGCCGTTGAGTCAGACCTGATTCATAAAGACCCCTCCTTGGGTTTCCGAGGTGGTATCACTACGGAAATAGATTGCCCAACCTTCCTTCCGAGGAGTGGCTGGTAGGTTTGAACAACAGCCTTCTGGTCTGCAGTCAAATGCCTTAGGCACTAATAGGAAATATAACTGAAATGTAAATTAAGGCTATATTGTGCCTAGGCTCCTGTTATTCAGAGTATACTCCTCAGATCAGAAACATTTGTGTTACCTGGAACTTGTTAGAAAATTTGGAATCTCAAAACACATCCTAAACTTGCTGAGTTAGAATCAGTATTTAATAAGATCCCTTAAGGACTCTTGTGCAGTAAAGTTTTGGTATAGAACATTGTTTGAAAAAACAGAATCCCTCTGTCTCCTTGTGAAACTTTTCTAAATAACGCCTTGACAATAAATACATAGTGCCTGCTTCCTAACTGCTCTGCCTACTTCTAGTCCCACACCCTTCAGGTCTTTCTTCACATGAAACATATGAACACAGTGAGTGAGATATATTGCCTCTTCCCATAGAAATGAGATTTTAAAAAGTAAAATCCAGTAAATTGTTGAAAATCAGAGTTTCCTATCACACCTGGAATAAAATAGAAACTTTTGTTTTGTCTTAAAAATCCTATGTGGCCTGGTCCCTGTCTATTCCACCTCAAATTAAAAATCTAAGTGTCCAAATAGAAGACTGAAAAATTTTTCCCCTGCTCAAAACCCCTCAAGAAGTTTCCATTGCCAAGAAATTACAAATATTTCAAACTGCATTCCTAATTCCCCAGAGCACTTCCCCTACACTTTCTTCCTTTATGATAAAACCTTGATTTTATTCAAATGTTAGGCAGCCTTGGACTTCAGGGAGTGAATTTTGATTGGTCTAAATTGGTCATGATAGCTTCCTGTTCCTTTTGGGGTGATTGATTATTGATATGTGACACAATTCTGGCCAGTGAGATACTGTGAGAAGTCAGTTGGAGGACTTCTGGGAAAGGCCTTTTCCCTTTAAACAGGAAAGAGCATCTCATCGTCATACAAAAATGTTCTAAGAGAGTATCATGAAGTGTTACTCTCAAGATGCTGCAGCGTCACCACTGTCAACCACCCAGAGGGAGATCTATGTAGAAGATCCTGGACACAGAGGGAGAACAATGTGGAACAAAACTCAAAATTATTTGGGGTGGGGAGAGGGTGGGTGGGGGGACCAGGTTTGCTGGTCTGATAGAGCCTGGTGGAACCACTGAGACAATGGTCCCTAGCTGCCCTTCAGGTCTGGAATTGAACCCACATTTGTGGCTTCCAGCCGAACAAAAGACAGGCACGTGAGTTGAACATTTACCTGAGGTAGATAAACTCCTGGAAGAGAACAGTCATAGGAGAAAG